GCGGCTGCACCAAAGGCCGAGAGACAGACATGATCTACGTGCGCGTGCAAATTATTTACAAACTGCAGATAGACATGTTCTATGCGCACGCGCAAGCTTTATATAATATGTTGGTTAAATGGAAAGTACTAAGAAAATATTTAGAATATATATATATATTCTAGATGCCCCTATACTCTAGATGCCCTTCTCACAGTCAAATTCCTCCTCCTTTCAGAACACAGGTTAGTCCCTGTGAGAGATTTTTACAAACTTTACCCCCCTACCTCTTGTAAAATAACGGAAATTTTAGAAGTCGAACTGGACTGAGTTCGCAATACAAACAAATTAAAAATGTATCATTATAAACTATGTTACTGTAAATAAAACTACACATAAGATATGTCAATAACTACATATAAAATTATGACAAACAAATTTATACATTCGAGCATAAATATATTGTCTATATCGGCTAAACATTATTAATTAACCTCTTGCTCATTATCCCGCACCTTTAAACAGATCGCACAGTCTCGTCCCAGGCAATTGAAATTTGCGTCTCAGGCCTTAAAAAGAGACACACGAGCGAAGTCCAAAGAGCGACGGAGTAAGAGCGGCACACGACCGTTGACCCGTCCGCCGGACCCGAAAGATCGCTCGACTCTCGCACGCACACACGACCGTTTCTTCAAGTGTGTGTGTCGAGAGATAAAGAAAAATTCGACTAGTTACGCTCCGTCCACGCCCGACCGTTTCCAGAGGCCAGGACATAACAATAATAAAAACATTATTAAATGTATTTTATAGTATAATAATTATTCATTATAAGATTAAACATAAACTAAATCTAAATAATTCTCAAAATAAAAAATAAAAAATGAATTTCTTAAACCTACATTTGGTCAAGTCTTTGGTAAAAAACTATGATTATCAATATAAATCTATTAATATAAGAATATAATTTTAAATTTTATCATATGATGTTTATTAATATATAAAGGATCATAGTTAATATGTGATTACATAGATTAAGTGCTTTGAATAGAGAGAGAGAATTTTACAATCTGGCCATTTCATCAAAGAACATTTCAATGTTATCAGTGGGCCTTAGCTCTCTGATTGTGTTTAAGCAGTGATCTCTAAGGATTAATATATCATCAACAAATCTTTTTCCTACACATACTCCAAATCTATTGCATTGCTCTTCTCTGGTCCTATCTACAAGCACTGAAGAGGAAAAAGATGCTAGATAATATTGTTACGTCTTGGGGACTCCACGGTCCCCTTTTTCTTACAACGCGACGCGCAAACGCATAACAAACCCTTTTCTTAGTAAATAATGAAAAGCAATAAATAGCTCGAACGGGTCTCCTATCGCTTGGAAACTTAGATTCCAAACCGCCGGACCCAACCGCCCGACGCCTACCACCCCCGAGAAACATTCCAACGTTGACCACGCGAATAACAACGACAACAACGACAATAATATTAAAAACCCCTGCGATATGCACACAAGCACCTCTTACGCTACCTCACATGGCGACATACATACAGACACACACTACAACGACGATTCGTAGTATCAATCTCCTTCTTACTCACCTATAAGTCCCGATCCTCCCGCAGATGCTCAATTCTCCCCTGCTTCTTCCGCGAACAATCTACCGCCTTCACTTCCTCCCTTCCCCTCTCCAACGCACCCTCGAGGCTTCCGCAGAAAATCCCGCGGATTTACAATTCGCGCCAACTCCTTCACCCTCTCCTTGCTCACCTTCCCTTCCACATTCGCGCAAGAACCCGTGGATGACGAACCTTCCGATTCCTCTCGACCGACCACCCCACCGCTCGACTCTAAATTACAATACTTCCTCAAATTAGCCTCTACTTACCGAATAGCAGATTTTAACAAAATACCATATGTAATAGATCCCCTAAGAATTAATTCTTCCGACCTCTTTCACCTGATATCTACAACTCTAGAAAACTTTTTCTCGTCAAATTTCCATATGACATCATTTCAATGACATCCGTCTTGTCCCAGTCCGTCATTTTTATACCATTTTTCCTCCTAGCTCTATAGAAATCCGCGAAATTATAGAAATCGACCTGGATTAATCTAATTAACCATGTCACGAATCGGCGCCACACACTTCCACCCGACACACTCACATTTGTAGTATCCCGCCGGAGACTCTACACACGCTCTCGCGCATACTTATATATATACGTCTTTCCTTTTTTCAGCCTCCGAGCGATGACCCTCCGATTTATTGTAAAATTCACGACACAACATCCATCCACACCACATCACAACAACCGAGAAAATCTGTAACGAAACGAATACGCGATATGAATAAATTAATATTCCACATAATTAATTCATTTTATTGAATCGACCTCTCATCCTCAATTGATCGCATGGTCTCGTCTTTAGTCAGTAGAGTTGAATCTCTAGACTTAAAAAGAGATCGACGATTGGGGCTTCATAGGATAGAATAAGATCGGCATACGCCGTTGACCTGTCCGTGAGAGCATACAAACTCGCTCGACTCTGCCGCAACAGGATCGCCTACTTGCTGCGCGGAGATAGAGAAACGACAGCTCTCTCCACCATAGCCCGACCGTAACCGTGGGCCAAGACGTAACAATATGTCCATATTTGATCAAGAGGTGTAACTCTATCTCTTATATGTAACACATTATCTACTAATATTGTCACCAAAATTAATTGTGGATATATATTTATTCTTCTTCCTTCTGAAACATAAGTCTTTCTAACTACGGATGGAAACATTGATTGATTGATTGATTGATTAGGCTTTATTTATATCGCGCTCTGGGAAGAATTCCCCTCAAGCGCTAACATTGGAGAGAATATGGCAAGTGGAACTTGTCTAAATTCTGTAAAACTTGCAATAGCTCTGCCAAAGTCTCTATGATATAACTCAGTTGTAATTTGGCAGAAGCAAGCTGCTATTCTTGGCAATGTAATTATCTCTGGCCCTGAATCGTCAGTTCTTCGTCTTTTTTCACTTTCTTCATTTGCACGTATATTGTATTTAGCCACTAGCATTCTTAATACATTGGTAAAGTCTCTTGAACTTTTCTTTATAATCTTAGAAATTACTGCACCCCTATTTAAGAAAATCAAAACAAGGAATGTAATATCACTAATTAGATTTTCATGATTGTTATAATCCCAAGTTTCTTTATGTCCTGCTTCTTCATATCTTAATTGATATGTAACTAAAGGCTGTCTCATGCTTTCCCTCCAGAACCTAATGAGTCTTTTAAGCAAGACTGATGGATCAAATCCTTGATATCTACATGCATACACTATCTTTATATACTTATCTCTAGCCTCTACAGACATATCAACAAAGACTACTCCAACCATTAGGTTCCAGTCCCTATATGACAATCCACATAGTTTAAGAAAGTGGAACATTTGATCAACAAAAGCAGGATCATCCATCCTTCTTATTGAAAGTAATCCAGCTTCATCATGAGCTGCTGCAATTCTGTTGAACATCAAGTCCATGTTTTGTCTTTCTTCCTGGTTAGAGGTTAAAAACAATCTCTTAATTATGTTAATTTGTAGCTGAAAGTCAGCTCTTTCTGTGATTGTTCTAACCAGATGATCATAAGCTGGCTGGTTTTCTTCTGCAATATTTTGTTGAGGTAAAATCTCACCTCCTACTGCACCTTCATCTTCCTCTTCGTCTCTTCTAACAGGCCGCCTTGCTTCTGCCATAGCTCTATCAAGAGATCTATTCAATTGACTCGACGCAAATTGTAGTATCTTTAGAGAAATAAGAAGAATATATTTCTGTATAAAACACATTCGATAAACGTGACTCTGTCACGAGATATTAATGGAAAGTGCGATAAGAATACTAAAAAATATTAAACTTTTATATGTCCCAATTTAGATATTTATACATGTTGCAGCGACACAATCTTCGTTTTGCCAAATGCCACGTAGCGGACGTATTGACTATATTAGAGAACCGGATTGCGATAAAAATTAGAACGCTTGATATGTAACGCGAGTGACAAACGCGTACGTGCCACGGTGATTTTCTACTCACTTGATCTAAATATTACTCAATTAGAGTAGACACACAGACGTTGAAGAATCATCTTTTGCCAGTCTGTGCGTAGGTACTTATTAGCGGCCGATACGAAACACATCGAGGTACTTTCCCCACAGCGTTTGCGACTATTTGCGATAAGAAAAATATCTGTACGAAGAGGATAACACTACTACTGCCCTCGTTTTCGTAATCTGTCATGCCGTTCGTCGTGGCAGAAACGAGAGCGAAGTGTAAATGCACTTTCTACGGCGCGGCGAGCGTTGTTTTATTTTTTTTTTTTTTTTTTTTTTTTTTTTGCGCCACGGAAGTGCATTGACGATAACTACCTTGCGCTTCGGCGCGCGTTGATAAATATATATGTAACACGGCTCTCTCGCTCGGCCGTCTCACGACAGCGGCGCCTTGCGATCGTAAATCTCGCCGGTATTTAAAAGACACGCTAATATTCCGGCTTTTATCGTTAATAATTAATCGGGACGGTCGTTAAACGTCACGAGCGAAGATTTAAGGATGAACGTTACTGTTTACGCTGCGTTTATCGACGTATCTCGGTACATTGATAACAGTATCAAAAAGAAAGAGCAACACAACCGAGAACGTCTCGATGGCGCCGATCCACTTTTTTATGGCTCACATAGCAGCTCTCGCGTTGTTATAATATTTATTGCAATACTCTAGCTAATGTCATTTTGAATAACACCAATTCTTTATACCGTTCGCGCAAGAATAAAGTTTTAGTACTTGCACGAAATGATTTTCTTACGAATGTGCTACAAAATTTTGAATACAAGTAAATTTAAATAAATTTAAGTTTTCTTTATGTTGTTATGCAATTAGAAACTTACCGTCTAGTTTTTGAGATAATTGTAATTAAAATGTGCAGTTTTAACACGTGATGCAACTCAAGTTAATGTCAGATTTTAAGAGAATAACATCCATATAATTCTAAAGATATAAAAGACGAATATGATATATAAAAGAAATGTATAAATATTATTAAAAAGTTTCAAAATTGTTTACCGTTTAGTTTAGAAAATGTAGTTAAACACAGTACGTAACCTACGAGTTTTCTTTTTAATAAATTGTCCTTTATTGTTTCTTAATTGAGTCATTTTCACTGTTTACCACATAAATACGCACAAGTACACAGCGTCAAAGTTATTCTAATCTACATATAGCAGAATGTGACAGTTCACAGTACTATAGAGATAATCGGAAATGGTAGCGCATCTTTTGTACATTTCTATAATGAGACCAAAGACCGTCTAGAACCGTCTGGAATTTGGAATGGTGCCCACCTAAATGTGAAACATCATATCCCTTCCGCGGTTTCTTCCTCGAAAGACCGGTCTGGGAAGCAGGAATAGATGCGGTAATCGTCGTCGTCGTTTCTCTAGACAATTCTCTATTTCCGTGGTTTCTCACTCAAAGAATTACAATTTTCATTTCTCGCTTGGGTTCGCGTACAAAGAACGAACGTACAAAAATAACTGTGCTTGGTCATCGACGATATTACTTATCGCCCGAGAACAATTAAAACATTCCAGGTCTCTTGTGTAGTTAACACTGTCGGTTGACATTATTGACGAATAAGCATTACAATATAATTCCGAATGTTATTTGTTCTTCACGTAAGTTCGGCGTGTAACCGAGTCACACGTACAAACGATCTTGCATAAAGCAGATGTTTTTTGAGATAGTCACGTTTTACTTGATCAATTAAACTCTCACGATATTCTTGATAGCAAAAGTTCTCTCTTCCTCTCTCTCTCTCTCTCTCTCTCTCTCTCTCTCTTTTTTTTCTTCTTCTTTGGATGTCTCAATCTTTTGTTGTTCAAATACGTTCGAGAATCTTTCCAAAATTAATTGCCAAAAAGCGAACATAGACACAGGCTCAGGTTAAAGAAAGACGCGATTGTGAATTTTGTGTAAAGCAAAAGTGCGAGAAGAATATAAACAGACGAGAAGGAGAGGTTTTTGGAAAACCGTAAAATGCGCAAGAAGTATACACCACGGCGATGTACGTCAAACTTACTTACCTACGACAATCGCCGGCGGCTGTGCCGGTTTTCTGTCTCGGGACGAGCGAGCGAGCGAGCGAGCGAGCAAGCGAGCCGAGAGTCCGGTCGATCCCGGCGAGCTCGCGTAGAGACCTGTTATTACACGGGAATGCGAAAAAGGAGGACCGGAGCTCTTCGCGGATCGAGGAAACGGTTAAAAATGTCGAGCCGCATCCCCGACGAGCGCGAGACCGCCCTTCGCTTCTAATAAACGTGTGTCCGGCATAGCGACGAGGAAGAAGAAAAGAACGGTGCACGGCATACAGAGAGAAGAGAGGGACGTGCCTTCCACACATATCAGAGCTGTATATGTTCAAGATACGCTCGGAGACATCGATTATTCGCAGCTTGCGACGATTCGATAGAAATCGAATTAACGACGCGCTGAGAACGAGCGAGGAAAAGACACTCTCGGTTCCGAGGAAATATGCGTTTCCCCGCGGGACATTTCGCCGAGTCTTTTTCTCCGCGTGTTAATTTACGATTCAATATCGACAATCCGCGACGAGTTTTCTCTCTTCTTCGGGGGTGACCGCGCGCATTCTTCACGACCGCGCGGTCGATGATCACAGAGCTGAAACGGATCGGCGCGAGTGACGTTTGGACGACGCGGCGAGTCTCGGCAGCTATAAAATCTCGCTTCGTAACTTCGGCAGTTTGTAACATATAAATTACAGCATTCGCGATACCACAACTCGCGCTGGCCGGTCGTAACTTACGAGCGTTGTCCTCTCCCCGTAGGAAAGCGAGTTACGACTGCGGATGTTGCGATTTGCCGCGGAATCGTGTAGTAAGCCTCGCAGCATAGCAACGCAACGTCGTCGAAGGATTATTTGCCTTGCGACTTGGTTCCTCTTTATCGCGAACGTGCGATATTGCTTCGATGAACGACGCAATTTCGGGACGTACGTGAATCTTCACGTATCAGTTTCGCATTATCGTTGAGTTGGCATGTTTTTGACCAACTAAAGGTCAATCTTGCGCCGCCACGTGCACGTTCGATACAGACAAATTATTTCGGAATCATCGCGCAGTTACGATCGTCGTCGGGCATCTCTTCTCTGTTAACAATGCTCTGGACATCGAACTAAACCGGTTTCCACGAAAGATGCGTCTCATCGTTGCTGTACAGTAGTGGTGCCTGGCAAAACTGTCAGCGGCATTAATATGATTGAGAATCATCAGCATTGACCGCGTTTACATGTGTTATACGAGGCCTGTACCGTTTCAGATGATCACGGCTGATAAAGCGACACGTTTGACCCGTCATCGCGATCATTCCGATCAAACGTCGCTCTCTCGGCCGCCGTTTTTTATGGGCGCTAGATCATATTTCTTGCTGTCGATATTTTTTTGTTTGTTTTTTTACATATTTATGTAGAACATTTATAATGAAAAAGTATAATATATAAAACTGTGGGGGAAAATTCCCACTATTAACAAAAAGGGATTGAACAAAATAACTATTTATTTAAATATGTAAAGATGAGTGTATGTATGTAGCTTCAGGAATTTTTCAATGAACAAATGAATTTTTTGTCTGTTGAAGCAAAAACACAGTTTTTGGAGTGTGTATTTATTTAAATCCGTTTATTAAAAATCTATAGCATAAACGTTTTCAACCTTTTAATTAGGTCCTTATCAAATGCATGTAAAAATCTTAGCTATTATACGTCGCTGAGTGCTGATCGTGGATGTCCATGTTGCACAAGCCGTCTCGACCAACACTTTACAAGAGTGAATACGCGACTCTCAGTTTTCTTTATAAAATTTGAAAGAAATTTAATTAAAAAATTTACATCTACAATATTTTGCACCTAACCAATAGGAGATGTAAAAAACATTTTGCTCTAACTTCTACCGTTCTCAAAATATTCCATTTGTTACCTTTCACTCTTTGTCATAAATCGCAGAGTAGCCGATTGAAGGTACCTGCAAAATTAATTTCAAGCTATCTCTTCTGGTTCTCGAGATATCCGCGATTTGCGAAAAGGACTATATATCGTTAAATGTAGAATATTAAAATAAGTCAAATGCGTATATTCGTTATTCATAAGCTTTATTATTGTAAAACCGCGTTCTCGGGAATTTTCAATCACCGAATTAATATAGGATAGTATTAGGAGTATAAATAAGTTTCCGCCGTTTTTTATCAAAAATTGGGCATTTATTGTGAAAGAACGGTACATAATGTTTTATTCGAAGTATTGTCCATCGCTAGCCACTACTTTTTCCCATCTTTCTGGTA